GGAAGATGTGAGACTCAGCAATGTCAGGTCTGTTCCACAGCAGCGACAGGTGCAGCTGGTCTAGTCGAGACGACTCCGACGCCAGGCCATCTCCTATTGAGCGCATTATTCAATTTTATTATGGTTATATAATGTATAAAATATAGTATATAATATATAATATTATTTTGTTATTTATTAGAAAATTAATTAATGCAAGTTTGTTGAGGACTTTGGCCAGCTCTATCAAAAATATTCACGAGTTCGCAACTACGCCAACCAATCACTGATGGCTCCAAAGTTAGACCCAAAAATCCCTGACGAGAAATCAGCTGATAGTACTTAAGCTTTAATATAGAGAGTTATTCGTTCTTAACTATTTTATAATCATTTATTTATTATTTTTGCGAATTATCCGCTGGTGTTCAATCCGCGCTGCTTTAAAGAGCAACTTCTGCCTAGCCATACCATGCAACAATATCAATTGTATAGAAACAACAACAATTGAATTATTTAGAAGTTGCTTTTGTCGTTGTTCAAACCTCAGTCGTTGAGATCGATCGTACGTCATTTATCTGGATAACATTCAATATCCGTGAGTTCCCCATTAATTTCTTGGGCTCCAAAGTTTGATAAAAATTTTTCGTTCAATAATCAGTGCAATTTTGATCGCAGGGCAGAATTTTCACGTTTTTTCGTGAATTTTAAATCGTTTCGACGACGCCTGAGATTTAAATTTCAGTTTTGTAGAATTGAAGAGCACGGAATCAACAGCTGTTTCATTTATCAGATCATTTATTCATTCTAGGATCCGATCATTGTTTCATATTATTGCCATTTATTTACATGAAGGTGTTTACTGTATTAGAGTTCACCAAATGGACTTAAACGGCGTACTTATCCTGTATTTTTGGTTACGCAGGATATTTAACCTCTAATTATTTAAAATTTTGTACGACAAGCATAAAATGGAATTTTTTCCTGACCTTTAAGAAGGGCAAATAGGATATATTTGTCCATAGGCTCGCCCGAGTTGATGTCGTAAATGGTGATGAGGTCGGCGAGCTGGCAGCACTGCAGCACCAGGTCAGTGCACACCTGCTCAAAAAATTCATTTATCTAGTTTTTAAATATTTTTAATTATCATTTATTGTATGTTATTGTTAAAAATTTACTTATTTATTGTTTTTATTATTTATTCCTCAACATGTCCCTTGAGGAATAATTTTTTTATCTAAAATATTTTGAATAAACATTGATAATAATATTCATATATTTGTAGCATTAGAATTGGTAATTAAAAATTCGGCAAGTCATCATCATTTATGGAACGTGACCAAAAATATTTAGGTTTATAACAGGGAAAAATGTATTTTTTATGATGCCGGCTCATAATAAGAAACTCCGTACCTTCTGCCTGCCAGGTTGTTACTCACGAAGGCGTTTCATGTGTCATGGAGACACCGTAAGCGATGAGGTCCGCCGCTCTACCCGTGCCAGCTACCACCACGACTGGGATGCGACTCTTGAGCGCCATGGAGCACTTGACGATGGAGGACATACCGCCCTCCAGCAGCAGCAGCACCACCGGGATGCCCAGCCCTGATGGTTCTGGAGCCTGGATCGCCTCCTCCAGACGAGTCCTGGGACCAGTTGACACGCGATAATTTTACCATTAAAATGCGTGCAACAATAAAAAAAAATCGTCATTACAATGCGTGCAACAATAAAAAAATCTTTTGAGGCTTGGTTGCTAAGAAGTGTCCTGGAACATGTTTAGCTATGATAATTTTACGGTCGAAAAATATTTAAAAATACATTTACAGGGTTCCCGGTAACCGTCAAACGTGTATCTGAATAGGTTCCTCCGCGATTATGAAACAATAAAAGCACGCTAAAAAAAAAAAGTTGAAAAAATAAAAATTAAAATCTCTCGAAAAGTTTCCTCTATCCTAAATATATGTCCAAAAACAGGATTTTTCAAAGATAATCTCGCCATGAAACTAAATTAGAATAATAAAAAGCTGTGGAGAAATGTATTAAATTAGTTAACAAATAAAATATTAAAAAGTATAATTGTAAAAAGCTAGATAAAGCTATGGAGAAATATGTGTTCATACTTGAAATCTCTAGCACCATATATCGAACCTGGTATCTATTTCAAACTATCGAACCGGTCAAAGGACCTGTTTTTAGATCTCCTGTGAACAAGTCACGAAAAGTACAAGAATCCACGACAGAACTATTCTTCAGCGCCGACATATATGATATGTGACATATGATATGGTATGGCGCGATATGTTAATCGTTTGCAGGGTTCCCTGCAGGTAAATGAAAATGAAACAAAGTTGATTACGCGTTGGTTTTGTCAAAACAACATTTAATCAACTCTGCCCAAAAGTTATATTCCTGGCGAGTCAAATGTTCTTGCTTATACGTTAAGGCTTATTATTATATGACCCTTAATTATTGAAAAGCAATAATAATATTATTATAAATTATTATTATATGCATTAACCGGAACCGATCGGCGCCAGAGAACGAATGTCGCATGCCGTTGTCCACGAGGATGAAATGCGTGTGGTCGCCGTTCAGGGAAATGTTCGCGTGCTTTTCGATCTTCTCGTCCACTTTGTACCTGAGGAGAAAAATACCCGACTTTACTCATTTATTTCAGTCGTTAGGATAAAGCCAGCGGTAAAATTTATTTGACTAAAAAATTTGGATATGATTGCCAATTCTGGTGCAAATGTAAAATATACAAAATCAAAGAAATTTTTTAATTTTTATTTTTGTAAGAATAAAAATATTTTATTTGCTGTAAAGAAATAAAGACGTTGACTCATGTTTGAATACGTAATCTAATGGAGCTTCGACTTCAATAACTTTTCTGAGTTCCGACATTTAACATAAGATACATTTTATGCAATGAGAATATCTGTTCTTTATAAAGGTTCTTAAGGTAGACATTTCGTACCTATCGTCACATTTCTTTTATTGTAAAGTCAAGTATTTGGTCCGATCCCACGAAATTACTAATATAACTCATTTCAAAATGCGCAGGCTGAGTTTAGTGGATACATGCAAGATAACCCCCAGCCTCCACAACCGGTGTTTCTGACCTACGGATTTTAGAATCTTTATATATTTTCAAACAGAAACCCAGTTTAAATGCTGCATTCAGTTCCTATCCTCTAGAAATTGTAAATAGATAGTACCCTCTCTACATGTTATCTCATTTTTATTTCTGTTATCTTCGATTTTAGTTCTAATGTCCTCAAGTTTAGGTGAATTGTTTGAATATGAATTTTAGGCTACTAATTGTTTGTACCTGTGTTCTAGGTTTTGAACTGACAATGGAGCTGGACTCCGAAACGTTTTCGCTTATATATCCTAATGAATCACTTATAATGATTATGTACCTGACTTTAGAGAAGGCCCCGGGATCGTCATTAACCAACGACTCGTAGTCTTTGACGTAGCCAAAGGGAGCTACTCCGAGACACTTGATCCCTCGCACGAGATGTACACTTTCTTCCTGGAAAATGTTTAAAAATAGCAAGAGAAGAAAAAAATAAATGTATTGTTTTTGGGAAGAATTTCTCACTTAATTTTCCAATGATAATTGGCATAATAATTAAGCTGAATGAAATTCAAGGGAACAGAAATTATTATTTTTATTTTAGTGAATTAAATTAAATTAATTTTGTCATAAACTAGATTAATTATTATAAATATAAAATATGAATATATCAAATAAATTTTAGTGAAAAAAGGTAAATTAAAAATGTGGTGAAGCTTTAAAAGAGTTTTAACCAAAAATAAATTAGAGCAAGCTGTCAATAATAACTTTTTGATGCGTAATTTTTGGTGACATGCATTACTTTAAACTGCGGAAATCAAATCAAGGTCCAGAAGGTCTAATTCTGGAAGCCAGATATGACTAATTTTAAGAATGGAAAAGTCATTAAGTATTAAAAAACAAAATCTGCAATTTTCTCACCTCTGAAAATACGGTCTTCCTTTTTACCTGCAAACAGTAAGGAATTTATTGTAATTATTTTCATTTTTATTTGAAATTTTCACAAGAATGAAGAGCAACTTCGAGAATTTCGATGGAATTCTCGGCACTGCATTGAACAGTTTTTAAACAAATTTTCTTACGAACTCATAATATATGAAACAGTCTAAGTTGTTCAGTCGAAGGTTCCTTTGATCGGAGACTTGTGATAAAATCACTAAAAAAGGACCAATCAATAATAAAGTCAATTGTTTCATCTATTTATTTAGCTAACTCTAATGCCCAATCATCCAGTCGAAATTACCTTTAAGCGCGACACTTTACGCTAAAATTACTACGGAAGGTATCATTCCGTACTCTTTTTTCGATTCTACAGCTAAATCTAATAACCAGTTGTCCTATTCGTTTTATTCATTTAAATTTAAATTAAGTTTAATTGAAAGATGATTGAAATGAAATGACATCGTTGGCGCTCCAAGTACAGGGTGCGGCAGTGGGGCAGACGGTTTTAAAAACGTCATAAAACAGTATATTTTTACTAAAAAACAAATTTATTGATGCAATCAGGTTCACAAAGAAATAGCATTTCAGACATTTAAGTGTAGAAAATAACATCTGGCATGTGGTGGCCGAAATCGTTGATGCAGTGCTGTAGGCGTTCTTGAAAGTTCGCGTAGACTCTCTCCAACACCGCTTTCTTAGAAAGCGGTGTTGGAGAGAGTCTACGCGAACTTTCAAGAACGCCTACAGCACTGCATCAACGATTTCGGCCACCACATGCCAGATGTTATTTTCCACACTTAACTGTGTGAAATGCTATTTCTTTGTGAACCTGATTGCATCAATAAATTTGTTTTTCAGTAAAAATATACTGTTTTATGACGTTTTTAAAACCGTCCGCCCTCACTGCCGCACCCTGTATGAACGCGTTCAAGAACAGACTAGATAAAGCTATGGAAAAATATATGTTCAGATTTGAAATGCCTAGCAACATATCGAGCCCGGTGGAAGACTAGTAGCTACTTCAAACCATCGTCAGTCATGAAAAGATCCGGTCAAATTACACGATTTTAGATCTTCTGTGAACAAGGCACGAAAAGGAAAAGAATAAGAATCGGCGACAGGCCACATCAGGCCTACACTTCAGCGCCGAGATCAATATGTTATGTTATGTTATGTTATGTTGTGATATGTTATGTTATGTTTTGTTATGTTATGTTATGTTATGAAAGTTATCCCAACTTACCCTGATGATGTGTTGCCCCTCGTTGACGGCCTCCCCCACACTCCTCATCACCCCAACGTGTACTCCCCCCGTCAACAGCCACGCGTTCGTAGAGCGAACGGCCTAACAATTCAATTTAAACAATTTGAGGCAGTAATATAATGCATACTAGCATAAACATAGATAATAATATAATGCAGTAATATAATGCATACTAGCATAAGCATATATAATAATATAATGCAGTAATATAATGAATAATTGCATTATATTACTGCCTAACCTAACAAATGTGATAGGATTACATGATGACGTTGCAAGTCATGTATTATGAGCTTCTGAAGTAAGATCTTATGAGGAAGTAAAGTCTTATGAGGAAGTAAGGTCTTATGAGGAAGTAAGGTCTTATGAGGAAGTAAGGTCTTATGGGGAAGTAAGGCCTTATGAGGAAGTAAGGTTTTATGGGGAAGTAAGGCTGTCTCTTATACACATCTAGATGTGTATAAGAGACAGGTCTTGAAGAGCACGGAATCAACAGCTGTTTCATTTATCAGATCATTTATTCATTCTAGGATCCGATCATTGTTTCATATTATTGCCATTTATTTACATGAAGGTGTTTACTGTATTAGAGTTCACCAAATGGACTTAAACGGCGTACTTATCCTGTNTATACACAGCAAGATGTGTATAAGAGACAGCCTTTCTTCCATAAATGAGAAAATGCACTAAAGAGAATATTGGCTTATTCTCTGTGCGTGTATGCATTGGTACAATTGGACCTAAACTCGGTGCGATTCTAACGTTGTAAAAATATGCATTCTGACATGGGTAAATAGTTCACCTTGATGAGTCCTGTGTTGAAAACAGCTTTTTTGTTTCCATCAAGTTTAAAGTTCTTGGCCCCACCGGTGACAGAGAGTACAAGGTTTGGCCTCACAGGTTCAGTGAGACGCCAATAATCGATTAACAGGGACAATACTTTATCCATACTCGTGGTGTTACTCATACGCACGTATTTAGCCGGTTTGCTAGAACCTGGGCACGAATTGGAAAGAATATGAGTAAATTTTAAAATATTTGTTTTAAATGGAAGTAAATTATTAGTTTTCCAACATAAAATTTATTAAAATTTATGTACCTCACTTAAATTTATTCAGGAGTTATAAATATAGCCGAGAGTGAAATTTCGTGGTATTCATGAACAACCTTCGTCCGCAGATTGATTGATTTACTTGTCCTACACGTCAGCTCATGAAGTTTCAAAGCTGAGGCATTGATGTAAATTTTACATATTAATATGATACCCGCGAATTCTGTCCAACATATTTTCTGTCTCTTATACACATCTAGATGTGTATAAGAGACAGGGTCTTATGAGGAAGTAAGGTCTTATGAGCTTGTGAGGTAAGGTCTTATGAGGAAGTAAGGTCTTATGAGCTCGTGAGGTAAGGTCTTATGAGGAAATAAGGTCTTATGGGCTTGTGAGGTAAGGTCTTATGAGGAAGTAAGGTCTTATGAGCTTGTGAGGTAAGGTCTTATGAGGAAGTAAGGTCTTATGAGCTTGTGAAGTAAGAAATTATGAGGAAGTAAGGTCTTATGAGCTTGTGAAGTAAGAAGTTATGAGGAAGTAAGGTCTTATGAGGAAGTAATGAGATACACTATAGCATAACAGTAAACTTTGTAAATTTTTCGGAGTCCTAAACATCTTATAATTTTTATTTGTTTCAAGCCAGGATCATGCTTGTCCAAGTCAATACGCACGATTCGAGGCAGTTATTGAGGCAGCAGTCATTTGAGGCAGTTATTAAGGCAGCAGTCATTTGAGGCAGTTATTGAGGCAGCAGTCATTTGAGGCAGTTATTGAGGCAGCAGTCCTTTGAGGCAGTTATTGAGGCAGCAGTCATTTGAGGCAGTTATTGAGGCAGCAGTCATTTGAGGCAGTTATTGAGGCAGCAGTCATTTGAGGCAGTTATTGAGGCAGCAGTCATTTGAGGCAGTTATTGAGGCAGCAGTCATTTGAGGCAGTTATTGAGGCAGCAGTCATTTGAGGCAGTTATTGAGGCAGCAGTCATTTGAGGCAGTTATTGAGGCAGCAGTCATTTGAGGCAGTTATTGAGGCAGCAGTCATTTGAGGCAGTTATTGAGGCAGCAGTCATTTGAGGCAGTTATTGAGGCAGCAGTCATTTGAGGCAGTTATTGAGGCAGCAGTCATTTGAGGCAGTTATTGAGGCAGCAGTCATTTGAGGCAGTTATTGAGGCAGCAGTCATTTGAGGCAGTTATTGAGGCAGCAGTCATTTGAGGCAGTTATTGAGGNACCTGTCTCTTATACACAGCAAGATGTGTATAAGAGACAGCCTTTCTTCCATAAATGAGAAAATGCACTAAAGAGAATATTGGCTTATTCTCTGTGCGTGTATGCATTGGTACAATTGGACCTAAACTCGGTGCGATTCTAACGTTGTAAAAATATGCATTCTGACATGGGTAAATAGTTCACCTTGATGAGTCCTGTGTTGAAAACAGCTTTTTTGTTTCCATCAAGTTTAAAGTTCTTGGCCCCACCGGTGACAGAGAGTACAAGGTTTGGCCTCACAGGTTCAGTGAGACGCCAATAATCGATTAACAGGGACAATACTTTATCCATACTCGTGGTGTTACTCATACGCACGTATTTAGCCGGTTTGCTAGAACCTGGGCACGAATTGGAAAGAATATGAGTAAATTTTAAAATATTTGTTTTAAATGGAAGTAAATTATTAGTTTTCCAACATAAAATTTATTAAAATTTATGTACCTCACTTAAATTTATTCAGGAGTTATAAATGTAGGCGATAGTGAAATTTCGTGGTATTCAAGAACAACTTTCGTCCGCAGATTGATTGATATATACTTGTCCTACACGTGCGCTCATGAAGCTTCAAAGCTGAGGCATTGATGTAAATTTTACATATTCATAAGAGACCCGCGAATTCCGTCCAACATATTTTAATATGAAAACTTATAATTATGAGTTTAACTAATATCATGATTATCTTAATCGGCCACCAGAAGTTTCGCTGACGAAGTCAATGAGTCCGTAAGCATCGGTAGGATACTCAGCAATACACCGGCCCATGTTCCAGGCTGTGTTGGTGGCATCTTCTTCCCCATCCAAGGTCTTCATGAGCTCCTTGGGGAACATCATGTTGGCTCCTGACGAAACTGGCAACCATAATTAACAATCATTCTTAGCAGTAATGTTTAGCAGTACTGTTTAGCACCCATGTTTAGCAGTATGAGTGTATGCGACACGGTCATATTTAACTGTATAATTGTATGCAACACGGTCATATTAATCTGCATAAGTGTATGCAACACGGTCATATTTATCTGTATAAGTTTATGCGGCACAGTCATATTTATCTGAATAAGTGTATACGCCACAGCCGTATTTAACGGTCATGTCCAGTTAAACAATTTTAACAATTTTATTTCCGTTTGCAAACACAACCAAATGTTCTTATCTTGAAACATTTGACGCGTATAAATGAACCTGGGCCATAGAAAATTAGATATCTCATGACTCAAAAGGATGGGAAGTTAATGATATATGTTAGCAGCAGTTGATAATGATAAATGCTGCATCTGGTAACTATCTTCCAGCAACGATTGATCGCCAATTTACACTGATGTTATTTGAATGTTTGAGTAATGATTTAAATTTCACAAGGAATCAGGAGCATGCGTTTATACCTCCAGGCTTTGTAGGCTCAAAATGATCGTACTCTTGAGAGGGGACCTGAGGGTCGGAACCTGGTCGCCCTCCTCCTCGGTTATGGGCTCAGGGCGAGGGGTGATGAGGGCAGGGCGAGGGGTCATGATGGCAGGTCCCTGTCCAAGACGTGAGTAAGGGTCCAAGGGGTGGCCGGGGAATAAGTTCAGAGTCGGAGCCTGATCATCTTCCAGCTGAGCACGGTATGAGAATGTTCAATTAACTTGCGAACGTTCAATATACTTGCGAACGTTTAATAGACTTGTGAACGTTCAATATACTTGCGAACATTCAAATAACTTGCAAACGTTCAATTTACTTGCGAACTTTCAATCAACTTGCAAACGATTAATTAACATGCAAACGTTTATTGAACTTGTGCATAATTTATCAGATCAAGCATAAAGATTATTTACTCTGCCTGAGCTCTGCATTCATTAATTATGCATACGACCCACACAGAAGACAAACTGCCACCACACACTTATTAATTATCAAGATAATAATTAACTAATCTAAAGATATAAATTATGAAGCGGCGCACCACTGGTATCCTGGTGTCGGTGTTGTGCAGCGGCTGCGGCTGGATGAAGAGGCTGGGTGGAGGCAGCAGGCGATGTCGTTCTTCCCTCAGGCCGCAGTAACAAATATTTGACGAGCCAGACGCACGGGCCTTCACGTACCTGAATGTGAACAAAAACTAAACATCAAGGTATCTGAATGTGAACAAAAACTTAGCAGCAACGTACTTGAATGTGAACAAAAACTTAGCAGCAATGTACCTGAATGTGAACAAAAACTTAGGAGCAATGTACCTGAATGTGAACAAAAACTCAAAATCAAGGGCATTGGCACGTTCAAGTTTATTATCACATCGACAAGGCTACGAAATTAATTTTCCGCTAGTCATACTACCAGATTTTCATTTTTTAAATTATGAACCTATTAAACTCGTAGTAGACTTCGAGAAATATTTTTAGTGAAGTGTAATGAATAATTGACGGTAATCTGGGACACTTTGTAATTCAGCCTAAAAACCGCTAGCATTAAATACCCATTGATTTTTTAATCAGAACTGATGAATGAGTGACAGCAGATGTGATATGTAGTAATAGGAATTGTTGCAGAAGTAATATGTAGTGATATGCATATGTATCCGTCTTGATTAGAAAAATAACTTATTGTTTATTTAAATTATATTGACCATAAAACTCGATGCATAAATTAATGAATTCCTTGGATAGAAATTCAATAATCAGATTCGAGGTAAAGTTAAATTTATAATTGTAACGGTGGCAAAAATTCCTCTTAAACCGGAAGCATTCCATAGAAACGAACAAAACAATTTAAATCAAAATAATATTAAATTTATTCAGCGTAATCTGAATCGAAAACAAGTACAGCAAAGTCGTTTGACTTAAAGCCAGTCTCTGACTTGATGCATTCCTTCCTCTTGAACTGCCGCACGAAGTTCAGTGTGATGTCTCTGGACTTCAAGTCCCGAGACTTCTTCTCTGACGTGCCCTTTGTCCTTCTCGCCAGTCCTATTTTTTTCCTGGATATAAAAATAAAAGTTTACAATTCATGACAGAATTAAGATAATAAACGGACTCATCCTAAAATATGAAGGAAAGGTTGTTTTTAGGAGCTGATTTTGCAATATTTAGTTAGTGTAGATGAATGGTAATGCAGGGGTAACTGCTACCGAAGTAAAGGATAATGCAGGATTAATTTGAATCAACAAAAAATGTGAATATAAGGTTCTAAATACCTGAGCGACGGAATTTGCTTACTTAGTTGGTGTGCAACTATTACAAGAAAGCTAAGTGATAAAAAATAGTTTGAATCCACATAAAATACGAATAAAAGGTTTTATGTTTCTGAGAGACGGTGTGGCTAAATTCAGTTGGTATGCAACTGAAATAATAATTTAAGAACGTCAAGTAAATGCACAACTAATATGAAATTTAGACCTTTGCAGCGTCCATCTCTGGTCGTTCATGGAGTAGTTAGTGAGGTCGTTGATGATGAAGGAGTTGAGGTGAGTGTGGGCGAAGAAGCTGCCCATCACAGACCTGGACCCGAATGTGTTTCGGGATGGCGACCTCATATGTTCCATCAGTTGAACCTGCGAGTCCTCAGAACTGCGGAGAGGATCAGGAACAGTTATACTGCATCAGTTGGTGCATGACCTTTGTTAAAAATACTTTAATGTTAGATTACTATTATAACAGTAATAATATTCATATTCCTGCAATATTCATGAAGTTATACTGCGTCAGTTGATGCATGATCTTTATTAACTAATGACTTCGATGTTAGATTACTATTATTAAAGTAATAATATTCATATTCCTGCTGTATTCATGAAAGTTGTACTGCGTCAGTTGGTGCATGATATTTTAGTATCATGAAAGTGAACAAGACTGTCTTCATTATGGAAGTGAACATTATTTTCTATATTATGGAAGTGAATAAACTTTCTTTGCCATTGAAATAAAAAAAAACTGCAGAACACAGATTCCATTTGTTAAGGAAGTGAATACAGTGATGAAAATTTTTCTTTTTCACTGGAGAGACATTGTTTAATTTTTCATTTTGGGGAGGGAGGAGCTGCATGGTAGCATCTGTTGTTAATTCTTCACTCTGAGTAACATACCGATCAGAGTAGGGTACTGAAACTAACTCTGAGGCGTACACGGTTATATTCATATAACTTTACTGTGGCGGTACACCTTCAGTTTGTGAAACATACCATTAAACTGGAGCCAAATATTCACTCTGGCAATTCTACCCACTCTGTGAACTATCCACTAACTCTGGAGAAAAGGCAGCCAGCAAAGGGACCATACACCCATTCACTCTGGTGACCGTGCCTTTTATCTAGTAATAGCACGCGAATTCTAGAGCAGCCAAAACACTCTGCAGACCACATATTTACTCTGGGGAGCACCCAATCACTCTGGGAAGCATCCAATCACTCTTTCGACCACGTATTCACTCTGTGCGAAGCATACTCACTCTAGGGATCAAATGAATGAAATTAATTTAAATTAATTTAATTTAAATTCATTTAATTGAATTAAATGAAAGTGCCACTTCTCCAGAGTGCGTGTATAAAGCACACTCTCTTTAAAGACCACTTCTCACTCTGGATACCACATAGTGCATGAAGGCGCTCTGTAGCGACAAGTTCACTGTCGTTGCCATAGAGACGCCTGGTTATAACCGGCTACGAAAATGTATAATTCCAATGAATCGATGATTAAATCGTTCAAACACACGATTACACATGGGTAGCTTTGGGGTCGGATTGCTTTAAAAGGCGTAAGCGGTGTTGCAATTAATTACCATGGAGGCCGTACGTTTGCTCTGGAGACCACACATTCATTCGGAATAACACACACTAACTTTTTAAGTCACCTAATCACTCTGTAGGTCATATAGTCACTCTGAATGTCACCTATTCACTTTGTAGGTCACCTAATCACACTATAGGTCACATAGTCACTTTGAAAGTCACCCAATCACTCTGAAGGCCACCTAATCACTATCTAGGTCACCTAATCACTCTATAGGTCACCTAATCACTCTCTAGGTCACCTAATCACTCTGTAGGTCACCTAATCACCATGTAGATCACCTAATCACTCTGTAAGTCACCAAATCCCTCTGTAATTCACCTAATCCTCTGTAGGTCACCTGATCAGTGTGTAGGTCACCTAATCACTCTGTGGGCCACCAAATCACTCTGTAGGTCACCTAATCACTGTAGGTCACCCAATCACTTTTTAGACCATCTAATTATTCTGTACCCCACCTAATACTCTGTAGACAGCTCAATCAAGCTGCAGACCACATAATCACTCTGCGGTCAACTCAGTCACTCTATGGGCCACCTAATCACTCTTTAGACAACACAATCACTATTTAGACAACATAATCACTCATAAGATCACCAAATCCCTCTGTAGACGTCTCACTCACTCTGCGGACTGCGGTCGGGTTGGCGACATTAGTGCAGGCGGCAGCATGGCAGGCAGAGTGTCTGACACTGTGGGCATGTATGACCCGTCGTCCACTCTTGGCCGGCCGTCCATCGTAATTATTATTGCTTTAATAATTCAGAACTTGAATTATTCAGTACTTGTATTATTTCAATAATATTCCTTTGACGCATACGATGCATTTTGATGAGATATTTGTTGATAAGTACGAGGGCATTATTTTGTTGAATTTGCTCCGATTTTTTAGGATATAAGTTATTTATATTCAGGCATTAGCTAACTGTTATAATAGAATAGAAGTGTCGTCTTTGAAGAAATAGGCACTTCTCTTCTGGTATTTCTATTCTGGGTCGTAGTCTTAAACTGGTAACTCTTCCATAAGATACTACAGGGCATTTGAGGGCTGGTTTGTAGATGTAAAAAAGCGCACAAGAAGAAGTCGTTATCTTGTTTAACATGATTGACGTGAGGAGAGAACAAATATTTGTTTTATATAACATTATTATACGTCTTATTGAATGATAGATAGTGTAACCATTTGTAGTCAATAAAGTTGATTATAGTTTTTTTTGGTATTCAGGAAGAAATCAATTTTGTCATTCAAATCAGTGAATGGTGAATAGTATACAAATAGGCATGGAGTTCTAGGCCGACCATTGGTCCGTAATATGGCATTAGTACTTAGAGTTAGAGTAAGTCTGTACGAGTAAGTCAGATTTAGAACTAGGACTCAGAGCGGGTACAGGTACTCAGAGTGAGAGTTAGTCAGTACAACCATGTGAGAGTGAGTACTAGTACTCAGAGTGAGAGTTAGTCAGTACGGCCATATGTGAGTGAGTACAAGTGCTCAGAGTGAGAGTTAGTCAGTACAACCATGTGAGAGTGAGTATTAGTACTCAGAGTGAGAGCTGTCTCTTATACACATCTAGATGTGTATAAGAGACAGGTGTGAAATGCNGTTAATTACTTTATGAGTGTTTGATATTTAGAGCCCGTCTTGTCAAATTTTATTTTCGACCAAATATGAGAACTGATAAAATAATCACTCTATGTATAATTTGTTCCTCATGCTTCATAATTCTGAAATCATTCGTCATTTCAAATAAGAATTTCTCAAATGACTTAAGATTTATTTGCGCATTAAGTTCATATGATTTCTCATCACAACACGAAAGATTTACCGAGCGAAGTCTAATTAAAGTTAAAAAAATATAACTCAGTACTCACTGCAGTGAGTGACAGAGAGCGCATTTTCTCGTCGACGAAAACGTGAAGTCACTGATGGACAGATGGACGGATGGACGGACGGACATGGCGAGCACAATAGTGCATTTTTCCATAAATGAGAAAATGCGCTAAAAAGTTCTGTTTTATGTCAGAATTTGAATGCTCGCCTTCTTATCAGCAGCACTTGAGTCGCGGGTGCGAACATTTTACTTGCACATGGCCTCGTAAACTCTAACCCGTTTTTTTCAGTACGAATTCTTCACTCCCATATGTTTACAGAAACAAAATAATGTTTCAGTGAAGAATTTAGATGCTCGCTCTTATTTCAGCAACTCTTAAATGTGGTTTAGAGTTTTCTCTCCCAAGTGAAGAATTTACGTATGTAATATTTCAAAAATAAAAAAATTATTCCAGTGCAGAATTTCGAAGCCCACTTGTATTCCAGCAACACTTGTGTCTGGTTTGAGATCCGCAGCTTCAGAGCGTCAAGTACACACTGCTGGCCGCTGGCCTACGAGGCTGTGTGCATGGATTGCTATGGCAGCGTTGCCGGTGTGGAAGCTACTTAGCATTTTGCTGTCTTCAATTGATTTTAAACTCAAAATGTGAGGAGAAGAGTTAAACTATTCAAGATGTGAATGAGTTCTATGATAATCATCACATTTCTTCAGCCAGGCTTTGTGCTATACTAACCAAATATCAGTTGTCAAAAACAACAAAAACCTGAATTTAATGTCGTCATATTCAACGACAGCTTGTGTTGTCTTGATTTTTATTAAAAATTAATTCAAGTTGTTTATCTCTCTCGTGAAATTAATTGTAATTTAATCAAGTATTCGAAATTATTTGACCTATAAAGCTGAACTTATATTAACTTATATTTATTTTTACTTAAATTAACAAAACTTACCTCACATTTGAGTAGCAAGTAGGTTTAGAATATTGGATGCAAGTTTATTTTATTATGCTTATTAAATTAGGCTCTATTATCTCAGGAGCATAAGGCAGCTTGTATATATCATGTCATCTGCCATTCCCTGTAGAGTTGTCAACCAAACATGCGCGCGATTCGTCACCGCAGAGCATATTTTTTCAGACGATCACCAATAAATTTAATTGCTTATTGCTGAATATTAAGCAAATACCGAGTGATTACGACCGCAGCTAAGCTTAGCAAAACCGTAATTAAAAATGCAAACTAGAACCGTTGCCGCATAGGTCATTATTCTCCTAAAAGTATACGGATTTTAGACCGAAGATTAAGTTAGTCATGTTGCAAATAAAATCTACGGTTTTAGGACCGAAGATTAAGTTAGTCCTGAGGCATTGGCTCATAATTTACGGATTTAAGACCGAAGGAAAAGTTACGGATTTATGACCGAATAAAAGTCATACGGCATAGGCTTCAAACCTAAGGATTTAAAACCGTAGATTAAGCTACTTCTGCTTCGTGTACCTCATTTTTGTGTAATATCAATGACGTTTTCCGTGTCACTGTCATATGAAAAATAGAAGAAACATTATTTATTATTTAACATTATGTATAGAACATTTTTTATTATAGAATATTGTTTATGGTGTTTGATTATTATATCTCACAGATCCTAAGAAATTGGGAAATTCAAATTCTTGTAAAAAGTATTAGGTTTTTCAATCAAAAATAAGAAAAAAAATATAAAACGTGAATACACTTTTAGTACACTATATGTTGAATTTGGGTGTAAAAAGTTTTCCTATAATTCAATTTATGTACTTTGATATACAAAGATATTTAACATTATAGTGTTTGTGACGACCAGATTTACGATTACAGGATGTTCAAAATTAAAATATTATATATCCTAGTCAACGACGCCTAGCTAAGCTGATTGTATTCAATATTTTATAGCAGCGCAAAGTTAACAAAAATTACAGATTTAACTTGCCAGGTAAATTTAATGAACTTTACAAAGTAGGAAAAATTTGACATACCAGTGTATAACTACCGGTTTTACTTGCCAGATTGCTTGCTGTGTTTTTGAGTAAAGTAAAACTTCTAGTTTAACCTGATGGGTTAAATGATACGTATTACACAATCTCATCAACCTATTACTTCTTTATACCTTTATCACAATATACTTTCCTTCCAAGCAACGAGGTTGCTCTGCCGGATCAAGACGGCTATGATGCGAACGATGTCCAGGTTAATCAATCGTATAATTCGCGCCTCATTCAACATAAACTCTAGAGCAGGAAGTTTTAACCNTATATTTCTGTATAGTTTTATCAATGTAATTTAAACACTATTTCTCATTGAATGCCTGAGGATAAATGACCATAATTACCAATGCAAACATCAAAATGGCTGACTTAATAATTTTAATGATAATAATAATTATATTATTATTATAATTATTATTAATTAATAATTATATCTGATTTTGTGTGTCAAGCCGATCATTATTTAGTTCATAACCATACATTTTGTGGTATACAATGACTCAGATAATGTCTTAAATCGGAATGCAGATCATTATTATCTTCATTCACCATTTCTGCTGTGACATGCAATGAGCTTGGTAATAATGCCTTGATTGTAATTGCTCTTAACAACTTTATATGTTCGAGATAATTGGATGTTTCATTCCACTTATATCGAACAACCTAAGCGGATCTGAAGACATTCTATAATTATTTCAGACTTTAATATGGTATCTCTAGTCGGTTTGCGTCAAATGAATTTTTCGCTAATGAAGGAGGTTGTATGAACTGACTCAGTGGTAAACTGGTGGTCCAGATTTCAGGCCCATAAGTAGTATTATTATGGAGACGGCTGCAAATTTTGGAAAATATTTGGATATGGATATGAGAGCATTTATGTGAATTTTCGTGTTAGGAGTAATATTTTTTATTTTAAACATAAATAAGAACCTGTTGAAGAATTTATTAGCACTGAATTTTAAAGTGTATTCTAAATTTAATGCCAACAAATATTTTTTTAGTGAGTTTCGGCACAATCTGCTTCTCTGTCGATCAGCCGTCAAGCCCAAATCCTAATCATACCTGATTTAATTTAGAGTTCTTCCCGATTTTTTGGATGAGGGAAGAAGTTGAAAAACAATTTATCGTTTTAGGCCGCGTGGGAAAATATTTATAACTTTATTGTTGAGGTCATCATGATATAAAAATAGCACCTTCGTTAAAATGGACTCAATATCTATCTTATACAGTAAAATTCTTAAAGATAGACATAAAACTGAATTATTAAAAAAAATGTCTGCCGTGTACTATGCTTTTGAATATAACATTGGTCCACGGACGTCGGTCTAACAAATACATTAAATATAATAACAAAAATCAAACAGAATATTTAACCTAGAGGCAGAGAAGCTAAACGAGCTGTGTTCATTCCATCAAACAATTTTACCTTAGCACACACAAGAAACAATGTGTAAACACACACATTGTTCACAAATTACATAAAACAATTAAATTTAATTTAGTTTCATTTGTTATCCATTGTAGAAATTACTCGAGGTTCTTCGCCAACACAAGATGGTACGGACACGCAACATATTTCGTGCAACATCAGACATATTGTGAATAAGGGTAAGGCATCGTTTACATCAAAACTTCCTATATTATTAATTATCGAATTTTCGGATGAATTTTCGAATCTTACACTGAATAATAAAAATTAATTTTTTATTGATAAGTGCTACTCATTTAAGCTTCTCAGTTGGTAAGAACGTCATAAAGAAAATTTTAGGTCCCAAGTTATTTTTGGTTAAATAACGTCATAAACACTTAAGATTTTTGAACGTAAATATTTTTTTATAAGTCTGGCCACTGAACCAATGCTTTAGTGGAAACACATTCGACTATTGGGAAGGTAACGATGCCATTATTCTATCTAGCGTGTAAAAACATGGACTTAACAATACAACCTAACACAAAATTGAACTCTTTTATCTGTAATCCTACAATGTTATCCTTATCCTATGTATGACGGAGAGTCGCATCGGATACATGTACATTATTATCTAAAATCATTAAAACAATAATTATAAGCTATAGACTCATGAAATTATTTGACACAATATCCATAAATTATTCAGTAGTTTGGAAACTACAATATTTGTCAATCGTGAAATTCATAGCCGCAGCACGCGAGCTGACTCGAAAATAAGGAACTTCTTCCTCACTTTTTTATTAAATCGGATTTATGACTGGCCGATTGCTCCACGATATAGGGTCATTAATGTATTTAATGGGTACATTCAAATCAAAGCTCCACTTCAATGTTGGACGGTCAATGTTGCATTTCTTGGGTCATATAGATGCCTCAACCGATCAATGAATAATTTCCGTGGTATATTTTTTTCCTTATTTTTTCATGAAAAATGAAGACCATGTAGTAATATTAATAAGTTATTCAGCCTAAATGTCTCTCCTTTGCTATGGCCGTAAAAAAATATAGTATTTTCAACTGTTAGTTGATACATCAAAATTAAATCTCCTGCCTCCTATTAGAACCCAATTTAGAGCTAATGCAGAGGGCGCTATCAAAAATTGAAATTGAAGGGAGAGTTTAAGAGACTCCCGATACTCGGACCCGGCAGCATAAACTAAATGATCTTGTACTTGTGTGAACGCAGGGATCATGAGAGCATTTGATCTTTCAGGGATCTGCGGCTAGGTGCAAAAGGGGAATTCTGGGAGACGTTGGAGTCGCGGAGTTCAGGTAGGGGTATGGCGGCTTCTGTCTCGTGGAGCGCCGCCTGCTTGTCGAGGAAAGGTGTAGAGCGTGACTTCTTGGCTGCTCTTGTAGGCTCTGCATCACTTGATGTCTGAATATTAAATGGAAGTTTAGTGTATAATTAGTTTGCAAAGTAATACAAAATTAATATGAATGGGATTTTTGCTATATATCATATTTAATAAATTTTAAACGTTATGCATTGTGTTTGTTAAGCACTTCAATTTACCGCGATTTTCGGTGTAAGATCTTCATGAGTAGATTCATTATTGCAGAAATTTCATTATTTAAATGGTGGAAGTCACAGGCTGTTCTCTACCAGACGAACAGGTGATTATTTCGTCTAGCGTCCAATGCTTAACATTTTTATTAAATTACCGTTGTGCAAGTTTCGAGCTGTTCTTCACCAGACAAAGAGGTGCTGATTTCGTCTAGCGTCTTAGGCTTAACATTTTATTAATTACCTTGATGGAAGTCTCGAGCTGTTCTTCACCAGACGAAGAAGTAATGCCCTCGTCTAGCGTCCACTGCTTAACCTTTTTATTAATTACCTTGGTGGAAGTCTCGAGCTGTTCTTCACCAGAAGAAGAAGTTATTCCTTCGTCTAGCTGCAACTGTTCACCATCGATCTCGAGCTCCTGGTAGAGGGAGGAGAGCTGGTCCTCCACTAGCGCCGGCTGTGAAAGCCATAGAAACGTTGAGTCATAACACGGAATTGAATTTTTCAGTCATGAAAATATGAGTAACAAATAATTTAGCTTCGAGTGAGGCAATACAGCATTGATCTATATGAATAAACAAACCTATTGATATGATAACCTATTGATAAACCTATCTATATGAATATATACCTATTCAAAAAAATTGTCAAGCTGTGAAGATCATAATTCGTGTTATGCAAGCCAGTGATAAAAACATCAGATGATAATAAAATGAGTCTATGACGCCAATGTACTTCGCTCGTTTTTTTTGTAAATTAGAAACTTATTCAGGAGCCAAGTTGTGCTGGAGCAAAATTTGTTTCATGTTACGGAATCTTGAGCTAAATTTTACCGGGAGATTTTGAGCTAAATTTTTGCGGTGCATTTTTTAACTAAAGTTCCCTTCGGAACTCATGAGCTAAAGTGTTGGGGAATATTATCTAGCTAAAGTTTCCTCGGAACTTATGAACGAAAATTTTCCTTGGAATTTATGAGCTAAAGTTTTAGGGCGTATTTTTTATCTAAAGTTTTCCTTGGAATTTATCTGCTAAAGTTTCGTGACGTATTATTAGCTAAAGTTTTCCTCAGATTTTATATAAGTTCCATGGGCGTATTTTTGAAGTTAAAACTTAATTTTTAGAGTGGATCTTGAAGCTAAAGTAATAAAATTAACTGACCTGGTTGAGGCTCCTGAGCGCCAGCATGTCGTTCCTGAGCACGTCACCGAGCTCCCTGGTGTGCAGTTGGTACCGGAACAGCAGCTGAGGGGTCACCTCGATGGGGTCCAGCCAGGGGGGGTCCTGTAGGACCGGCCGGTCGTCGCAGGAGGGGGGCAGCCCTCTCGCACTCTGCTGGTATATAGTTGTTATAGTTCATATAGATACATAGTTGTTATAGTTGATATAGATATGTAGTTTAATATAGTTTGTTTAAAAATAATGCCAGTTTCATTGAGGACTTCTTTTGAGTTTAATCTCTCAAGCTTTCTGATAAGAGGTACAGTAATAGGGTCAATGTGTCTTAAAATTTGTCCAAATAATAATTCACTATTTCAATTAGTCTCCTCTCTGCATCTCTATGAAGGGCTCTACCCTAAATGTACAAATTTAAATATATTTATAGATATATAGTTATTTATAGTTATGTAGATACATAGTTATGGTATCGATAGTTATTATAGTAAATCTACAATATATTCATGGAGATAACAGAATGAGACTCCTGCAGATGGTGATGCAAAATATGACTTAATTTTGACAGCTAAAATATCATAAACTTTATGTTTTTAGGGCTAGAATGAAAGAGTTAATGCTGATCACGATAAAATGAATTACATTTTGTTGATAATGTTAAAAGAATTCCTGGAAGAGAGAAGTTGTTATTCATCAATTTTTTACAGCTTACCTCGCTGGTGTCGACCGAAAATTCTGACAGCATTGGCAGACTCTCTTGACCAGGGGAGCTGTCTGACATGACCATGTCACTGCAACATAAATGGTAATAAAAAGGTAATAATACCGTTTACCATAATGCCATAATAATAATATACAAAAATAATAATAATACAATATCATAATTCCATTTACCAATACCGTAATAAAATAAAATAAGGTACACGGTAATAAAAATGGTAAGTGTCCAATTATATAAAAATTTAGTACTTTTGTTAGTGTAGTTTGTAGCTGTTATTCTAACCGGCTTCCTCGACGAAAATCATCATGTTTGTAATATTAACAATCATTAAAATTTTATGTCAAAGACACTATTATTCTAACTAGTTGTTTTCATTGCAATATTCTAAAAATATGATTATTATTTCATCAAATCATAATTCATTCCAGCTGTTCTATTTCACCATATCAATATTATTCATACCAGTTGTTCTATTTTATTATATCAATATTATTCCTACCAGCTGTTCTCATTGTAATATTCAAAACAACTTATTATTAATAAATTATTATTAAACTAAATTATTCATATTCTAACCAGCTGTTCTCGGCGTGCTGCCCGTCCACTGAGGTAAGAAGCTTGTCAGGCGACGCTGTGCTCTCGGCCTCCCCCAAGACACTCGTGGACCGCGAGTAGTGGGAGGGAGGGGAGGCGGCGTGGGGTGCGTAGCTAAGCTGCACAGTCATAACCGTGAGTAACAATGATATTTAATTAATAATAATAAACTACACAGTCATAACCGTGAGTAACAATGATACTAATTAATAATAATTAAGTATCATTGTCTTAGTGATTGTCTCAATAATGATAATTGAGAGGGCGATCAGGGAATACAATGATTGTGTAGCACAACTATACTATGATTGTGCAACTGCTGCTTGAAAATTAGAAGCAATAATTATGCAAATTAAAAGGGCGATAACGTAATACAATTATTGTTTAACTTCACAACGTGTAATGATGAAAAATATAAAAAGGGGTGAGTGAATCCGATGATTTTGTAACTGAACAATTACAGACATGCATTGATGTGTTAGCTACGGAGGAACAATAAAACAAATAGAACAGTAAAATAGAGAACAGATATTAATTTTATTCTGAGCAAGAAATTAGAAGAAACATTTAAATGAAAATTGAAATAGGAATAGATGTGGGATAATTTCGAAGGGAGAAGAGCAAATTAACAAATAACCAGGTTACTGAGAAGCCAAATATTATGCAAAAACATGTAAATGGGAATTGAAACAAAAGTTAGACTATATCAGTTTGACTCCTATTCATCAAAAATACCCGAAAAAATGCTAGTAACAACTGCAACCTATCCCTAGTAAGAATGGTATGTATTGAAAATAACTCATATTTATCGCTAGCATTATTTCCTGCTGTATTTTGCATGAACAAATTACCAATGGAAAATTCTAGCTCAGTGTATTCCCCAGAATTCGCCATTTCGCAAATTCGAGTTTAAACTGTTTTTCCCAAGATTTTTGACTGATATTTCTGGCACAGTTTCCTCAAGTAATTCCATCGGGAATGGTTATTGAGATTCTAAAGAAGGAATAAAGTTTAAAATTTGGTTTTACATGAGACCTAACAGAAAAATATCGGCGATTTTCAACGATCTAAATCCTTCCATTAACTTTTTCAAGAAAACGAGTATTTTGGGGCATTAGAGATCTTTATTCCAGACACGGCATATTACAATCGTATTGTTATAGTAAGAACTGTTAGCAAGCACATTTGAATTCATCATTTGAAAAAAATATCGTTTAAAGTATAGGATTTTATTACGGGATTAATTTGAAGATTAATTATGGAAATATCGGAGTTTTGTTGGTATGTAAGAATTTATGCACCGGGAAGCTTTCATTCCTGTCATTGCTCAACATGAATAACATTCATTGTTATTCCATTCATAACATATAGACTTGCGTGGACAGACTTGCATAATTATAGGAGAATCGCGTACAATTATAAAAACAATTTGTGCAAACGGAAGCGATTAATGTATTCGTAATTTGTATACGTGTATTTGTCAGTAAGAATTCATTTTATAGTTGTAGGTTGTTCGGACTAAAAAAAATTAAATGGGGGTTATGGTTTTCTGCGTTATTGTGTTTGAAATTTTTAGCTAGAGAGTTGTTTGCTTTTGTAAACTATTACTTAATTGAAGACTGGACGTTTTACTGAAACTAAAGATTGGTCTTTGGAACATTGGTTAATTTGCTGAACTGAGTCTTATATATAATTAATTACCTGCAATCAATAATAATTACCTGTGAACTGATTCATTAATACGATATTTTCTAATTAATTATCTCACGCCAAATGAATTATTCCACAGTGAATTTAATAGAATTTAGTTTATCATCTGGATTCAAAATATTAGCATCCACTAATCCAGTGATGAAGACCTATAAAAATTCCAACATATGGTCATTAAAAAAATTTGCATCATTAATCTATATAAAATTTCCTACGCTACTTAAATTTTACTCCTGCAAATGTTCCTCCTCATCAAACTTTTTTAATCCGCCTAGGACTCGACCAGACCCAATTACTCTTACCTGAGCTCCTATGAATACTAGAAACTAAAATTGATCTGTTGATTCCTGAACTAAGACCATTTTTCGTCTCCCTTAAACCACACATAAAACTTTGAACGCCAGAATATCCCTGAAAAGAATTTGGTTGTGAGGAAATACGCTGGGGCCGTACTATCAAAAATAGGTATCATTCCGTCAGCCATTCCCTGAAGGCTTTTCAAGCCAAACCCATAAGTCACAGACAAGAATTCAGCCAATTCATGTACCTAGGCTGCTACGTGCACTTGAGTGAATTTTGATAGTATGGCCCCAGCTGGTCCCCATGGGTCATTATAGACCCTCGGACGAACCCCTTGATCGGTCTGGCCGGGTTCGTCGTTCTCGGACCGCAGACTCTCGGGCCGATGAGACATCGAGCATCTGAGCAGACCTGATGCCGATGCAACACTGCCCCTCATCGAGCCAGGCTCGACTTTGACTGAGGTGGCCCGAGAGTCCGAGCGTTTGCGGAGATGAACCACAGCGTGTGGGGATTTTGGGTGAACAAGTGGGTGTTGTGCCTGCTGTTGGTGATGATTGTGAGTGTAGTGGTGATCAGTGTTTCGTTGCTGCAGGCTCTGCGAAGACTGTGGTCAACAACATGATTAATTCTCGTAACGGGAGCTAGAGTGACATTGCAAATTTGATTGAAAGAAACAAGCTGCTGCGCGTCATTCAATGTAGTAGAAATATAAAATAATGGCGCTGGCAGGTCATGGAAATCATGTGAGAACGTAAGCTCATTATTCCCATTTGCTGGGAAGAGAACAGTTAAGACCAGCACAGTTTTGATCAACACAGTCTTTGACCACTAGAAAAAACAAGCTATAATTAAATCTTTAAACAAAATAGGAAATGTAATTCAAGGAAAACAAGCATTAGTTTGAAAATCCCTGAGCAGACAACTGCTGGAGAATGTTAAGTATCTATCAAAGGTCTTAGTATGAAAGATGAACATCTCTATGACCACGAAGTCTCCAATTTATAGGGAAGATTGAAAGTAACGCGACTCAAGTTGCTAAGTTAAGAAGGGCTGCCCACCTTAATGCTCCCGATAAACTGGCGCAAAAATTTCTCTCTACCCAAACAAAATTTAGATGCGTACCCGATTCTGAAATAGTTTAGGACTCGCGGAGCACGTAAATCAGCCGCTCTATGGCCGCTTCTGCTCTGGGTTTGATAGGCAGCCTCTGAGCAGCTGGCAAGCTCGGTATGACTCTGTTCGGCCAACTACTCTCATACTCTTAGGCGACTATAAAGTCGGAAAGGAAATACTGACCAGAAACTGATTTCGCTTGGCGGCCCAACAGACCCAGAATAACTTTGCGCCGAGTGTAGTGACTCTTAGGTCGAAGCCTATGCGGTCCCCGAATTTTGTTAGGGTAGAAATGACAGATTTTTATCGCTTTTAGATGCGTACCCGATTCTGAAATAGTTTAGGACTCGCGGAGCACGTAAATCAGCCGCTCTATGGCCGCTTCTGCTCTGCGTTTGATGTACCGCCTCTGAGCAGCTGGCAAGCTCGGTATGACTCTGTTCGGCCAACTGCTCTCATACTCTCAGGCGACTATAAAGTCGGAAAGGAGATACGTACTGACTAGAAACTGATTTCGCTTGGCGGCCCAACAGACCCAGAATAACTTTGCGCCGAGTGTAGTGACTATTCGGTGGAAGCCTATGCGGACCCCGAATTTTGTTAGGGTAGAAATGACAGATTTTTATCGCGTTTGATAAAATCATTAGAACAAATCCAGGACATTGGGGAAAGCCTTACCACCGTTTCTCAATTACGCTTATTTTCGAGTTTCCTAGAAAAATTCATTTCTGTGGACAACGCTGCTCTTGTGATGCACTACATACCCGCTCTGGGGGCCCGACTTGAGCGACGTGTGACGGGTTGTCGACTTGTCTCGACGAATTGTTCAGGTTAATGGGAGAGACGTGACGAGTATTGTTGCTGACGGATGTTTGGACGAATGGATGAGGTAGCATCATGTTTGACATCATGTTGGGCATCATTAGGGGCCCGGCACCGTACATGACGGTTTGGTTGAACGGTGGATGAGGTATGTACATACCGGGGTAACCTCCCATGTAGTGGTAGGGCAGGGCAAGACCTATGGGAGTAAAACCGAACATCGAAACAGCTTTGACGATGTGCACTTAATAAAATGATACAAATTTAAACTTTTTAGCATCGAATAAATTAGATTTAGGAATAAAAATATTAGCAAACAGTTAAATTGAACCAGTTGAGTTGAAAATTAATGCCCAATAAGTGTCCGAACTCATGACTTATTTCGTTAACATTACATCCAATTTAGTCAATCACGACGGACTAATAAAGGGAAATGAATGAAAAAAAAAAATAAAATTCTCATGTAAACAGTCTTTGGGTCCTATAAAAAACTAACTTACTTGCAAATCGTTTCATAGTAATGGAAATATATTTAAATATGCGCACACCTTGAGGCGTCATAAAGTGTGCCTGATGTGGCCCCATTATCATTGGTGCAATGGGGTACTGATGAGGGTTGGCAGCAAGTTGGGGTTCTTGGGACAGACTAGTAGAAGGGTCGGATGGCAGGGATGAGTTCTGGAAGCCGCAGGAGTGTGCGGGTAGAGGATGACCCGGGATATAGTAAGGAGCTTGTAGCTGTTCCTGTGAACCTGTGGCAGGGTTCATAGGAACCGCCATGTCTGTTCGACCGTTGACCTGAGCCACCCGAGATCCGGATCCGCTGTTGTGGAAAACAGAGTCAATTTTTAATATTGTCAACAATCGGATATTTTTTTGGGTTAAATAGGCAGTCTTAAAGAATTCTGACGATGTAAGATTCCGTGTGAGTTTTCAACAGAATAACACAATATGTTGCATCAGTATTAGTAACGGTATTATTACTACCAACGGTATTGATAAAAATAAATCAATGGAAGCAATACTTACTTAAATTATATTACAATTTACACAATTTAAGGTTATTTACGGTTCGTAACCTTAATATAATAAGGTTACAGAATTTCACCCTCAAAGGTGAATTTCTTTCCTCATTAACCTTTAATCTATTTGTTTCTGATTGTTTACGGATGGCTAGACTGACCTGTTGAAGGAACTGTTGGTGAGTTTGTTGTCCACATGTAAAGCTCCATTAACATGAGACAGTCCCGCAGGATCAGAAAGTTTCGCTGAAGTTTTCTCGATAAAAGGGAACTTGTGAGGACGATGGTCCCCGCTCTGGCTGCCGGAATTAGGTCTCTTCAAACCACACTGAAAAATTACAATAATAGAAAATGAAAGATGAATCTTGCTGGAAGTCCTATAATTATAAGAAAATGTGGCTAATTTGCATTCTAGCTAATTCGAGAAAGTATTCCTCGTATGCTTTGTTTTGTAAAAATTTAAGTTAAGTTTATCATTGGATTGAATTTTACATTCCCTATACCATTAGTTTGTTTCAGACCTGAGTACAATTTTGGATAGCTTTCATATTTACGGATCATATCACAAAATTAAATACAAGTTTTTCTTCGTTAATATTGCCCTACATGTCCGTAGATTGAATTTTACATGACCGATACCGATTACTTTCATTCAGACCTGAGTACAATTTTGGATAGCTTTCATATTTACGGATCATATCACAAAATTAAATACAAGTTTTTCTTCGTTAATATTGCCCTACATGTCCGTAGATTGAATTTTACATGACCGATACCGATTACTTTCATTCAGACCTGAGTACAATTTTAGATAGCTTTCACATTTACGGATAATGAAACAAAATTAAATATAAGTTTCTTCTGCATTAATATTACCACACATTTCCGTACTTGCGAAGGAGGCATTCTCGCAAATCTCTTGGTCTGCTTCAGGTTCTGTCCGGAAAGTCGTTCCCTCTGCCGTGAGGGCCCAGGAAGAGCTACAGAGTTCTTCTTCTGTCGTTCCATGAAGAGCATCTGCATCTCTTCGTTGTGTCGAGACAGAACTTCTTCTGTCAGCGGGACGTGACGGTAGCTTGGTAGCCTCGGGCCGCCGCTCGCTGAGCTGGGACCGCTGGCACTTTCGCCGCTGCCGCTGTCCGTGACGTCTTTGCTTCCGTATTTCCTACGCACGTTGTAAGGGACATAAATCATTAAGTATTGATAATTTATCATTATGAGGAAATATTATGTATTTTAGAAATTGTTAAATATCCTAACATTTACATTCATATTCTACTTTTTGACAACATTGATTATTTTTTATTTCTAAAATATCTTCAGATATTAGTTGTACTTGCATTTTTTTAGTTTGGTAAAGATACTGTGAAAATTACAGCAAAAAATCGTATGAGATTTATACACTAACTAAAATTGCAAAGATTGCAGACAATTGATTCGGAATTGCCTACAAAATTATTATTTTACTAATTCCTGTATTAAAAATTAAAAATACAAACTTTCGATGTCCAAATGAATCAATTAAACTCGAATTGATAAATGTATGCGTATCTCTTCCACTTATATGCATTCTATGATAACATTTACGCATACTACTCCGATAAAAATTCAGTAGAAACATAAATAGTTGAGTTAGTCACGCGCGAGATTAAAGGAATTGGTAGCAGCCGAAATCACCTCGTTAAATATATTGAGTCTCCCGATCCTGGTCCATACCCGGACATGTAGAGCGACTTGTTAACTCCTGATGGCATCGAATTGGAGAACTTGTAGATTGAATCAACAATGTAATGAATATTTTCAACGATTAATATATAAGATTTTGTAGATGTTCAATAGATTGAATCAATAATGTAATGAATATTTTTAATATATAAAACATATGAAAATGTGGCGGATGATTAAAATGCAGTTCGATTTGAACTTGATCAATAAATTCGAGGGAAATAATGTTCTAGTTGAGCTATTCCATCTCAATATCAATGGTAATCTTCGATAAAAAGAGAAGAGGATGACTTTAGCTTTATTGCACTTTTCGGAGCAGTCACGATAATCTTATTTATCTTATCTTCTTATGTATTGTAGTCTTATGTATCACAATAATTAAAACACATTTCATATCTTACATTCGCTGTAGAATTGAACGTAAAGAGTGAAATAAGGTAAATAAGATAGAGTGAAACGAATAATTTTCGGGGAATTATTTTAGTTCCCCAATTTTTTTCATTCTACTAGAATGAATTAGACAGAATGAAACGAACAATTTTCGGGGAATGATTTTCATTTCACGATTCTTTCATTCTACTAGAATGAATTAGATAGAATGAAACGAACAATTTTCGCGGAATAATTTTCATTCCACGATTTTTTATCATTCCACTAGAATTATTTTCATTTGACGTACATAATCAGAGTTGTTGTACTGAGTATTGGAACGCACCGCATCATCGTGGAGGAGAAGTTCAGGCGACTGTACGTGGACGGCGACTCTGACGATGACAGCAGCGACTCTCCCTTCGCTGCCTGAGACATGCCTGCGCTCTGAGAGACCCATNGAGACAGGTGTCATGCTGCAGCACAGCAGCAAGGCCTGCTGCCACCGGCTGTAATATGTCATCATTCATTACCAATTTCAAAAGAAAATTTATTATTATGATAGAATAAAACGATCATAAGCGCCAAGTATTTGAAATTAATTATGTAAATCTCGAATTCAAGGATGGAACACTTATTTTAATGTAAAGTTTTAAAAATATTGGGTTACTCCTGCTCTCACTCAGTACAAGAGTGGCCTCAACTTTCATGGATTGTGATCACTTCAGTTTGCTTGTTTGATTTAGTCCTTAATTCTTGCACTCAATCATGATACATTTTTAAATAATGTTCATTTTTATGATGAGATAAATGCTTTACAATTATGTTAATATGAACTCACTTTACAATATGAACTCAATCAAGGAAGATGTCGATAATTTTAGTTTGCAAATAGTTCTTAATTTATGCATTTGATTATAATTAGCTCATTAATATTGTTGTATTGTATGATAAGATGAAGACATTGCAATTGTATGAACATAAACTCACTCTAGACAAGAGATCGATGATCTCACGACGCGCGTTGCGGGCGACCACGCAGACCTCCTCAGAATACGTAGAGCCTTCGCACTGCTCCATGTAGATTGAGATGTCTTTGGGGCCCTGCACAATATAAGGTTGTTTATTAAACACTAGGATAGACCAGTTTAATTACGTATGTGCAATTAATTTCGCATTTATTATTACGAAATTGATTTTGTATGAAGCTGCATTGCAAAAAAAATAAATCTTTTCATATTCGCAGGTGTGAACAGTTAGTTGCAATCACTCTTCAACCATCTTGTCAATGGCATCATTGAGCTTTAGTAAAATCAAATAAATAGCACATCTGCAATAAATCTGACAATTATTTAATTAGGAACGTTCATGTTATTGAGATCAGCAGGTTGGCCAAGCTTTGCACAGGATCGAAAATCATTTTAATTTTAGAATCCCGTTTTCCAAAATCCTTTTGAAATGATTAAATATATTGTATGCTAATTAAGAAATGTTTTGCTAAAACTCACATTTTACTTGGCTTACAGAACTCTTATTTGACTCCCGTTACAAAATGCGTCGAAAATTTTATTTGCTTTCGAAATGAAATTTCCGGTATCCATTTCAAAATCAAATTTAATTTTTTTATCAATCCTTTTCTCCCATTTTTACAATGCTATGTTATTCTCCCACTATAATGATAAATTTTCTGGTCCAGTCGATATCTCGACACGATAAGTATCCTGGACATGCGCCAACAGTCCCTATACATGTACGACACCATAGCTTCAAACACACAAACTTAGACAAAAATTTAAGATTAGGATTATTTTATAAGATTTTTAACCTAAGAGCGGGCGAGACAAACCTTGACAACTTTGTGTTGGCCGATGATAGAATCGATCTTGCGTGTCCAGGGGTTGACGAAGCACAGCCACTCGGTCTCCAGCACAACCCAACTGCCGTTGAACGTTCTGAAGCGGTAGGCATCGCTTCTGAAGGGCTTCCCTTCTTCTCTGATGACTGAAAACAATGGAAATTATGATTATTTCAATTAATGCTCATAAAGATAGTTATTTAGCATTTATTAACTGAGATTAAATTTTAAACGACTGGAACAACGAAAATATGTGACTAAGATTCATATAAAAAATTAGAAAATTTTGAACATCGTTTCAAGTCTCGGCAGCTAATACTTTAATATAAGGCGATGTTATATTTTAATAGTTAAATATTTATTAGTTAAATTATCCATGTTTGTATTCAGTTTCTGGTACTCACTTTCCCTGTAAATGGTAAGGAGTAGCGGTAGATCCTCAGGGTGGTAGCAGTCAAAAATGGAGTTGCCGGTGAGATCCTGCGGAAGATGTCCCAGGAACGGAATGGCGTCAGGATCATATTCAGAAAAGTTGCAGGATGCCGAGTGCCTGATTATGAAGTTGCCGCCATTGATAACTTCGTCGGGAACTGAAAAAAAGTTACCAAAATTAGTGAGAAAATTTGTGAATTTCCTTTAGTATTATTCAAATTACTTTATGAAGGATTTGCAAATCAAAGTGGGCAAGTTGCGCCCCAAAAATGGAGTTAGTGGTTTCAGTTTCATTGATGGCCAATCTAAAACATTGCTACGTTGTTCTTTGAAGAAATAATAAAAATACTCGTAATACAATACGAGTTTTACATAAATGAACGGCAATAATTAGCGCCATGCTGAAAAATAATTATTTTAATGTTAATTATTAAATAATTCTTCTTCTCTCGTGATTAATCATCGATAAGTTAGTCTGTTTTTCCCCTGATATATGTTTCGACCGTCGCTTAACATTTTTTTGGTCTTAATAGTGCTGTAAATATTGTATATTTTTTTATTTAATATATATAACAATATATTTAGTATTATATTTATATATTCATATTTAAATTGTTGAATAATGATTTGTTAATTTAATTTAATAATAACAATACAGGCGTCTAACCTCGGTAGAAAGATGGTACAGGAATAACTTCAGCAAGCAGAACATCAGGCGCAGGCAGTTGGAAAGGCGAAATAGGCGCCATGGGCTCCTCGCCGGCAGGCGTTAAGGCGTCGTTGAACTTGAGTGTAATTTTGCACGGCTTGTATGAATTTTTACCGCGTAGGTCAAAGGCGGACGCCTGGTAGACTTTGTTCTCCCGCACTCGACAGTAGAAGGGCGGTAGAAGACTCTCAGCTGTAACGTAAAATTGTGAACTTACTTTGTGTGAAACTTACAATTTGAAACTGAAATTGTGCAAAACCGTGAAATTCTGAAGTGAAATTGTATAACAAACGTTCAATAGTAAGCTGAAATCGTGTAAAAACATACAATTGTGTAAATAAATTGTATATAAAGGTATAATTGTTAAGTGCAATTGAGTGAAAATGTGAAATTGTAAAATGAAACTGTGTAAACGTAAAATTGGGTCGTCAATTGTTTTTGCGTTTTTGAGCTTCTTTTTACGATGTAACAGCACGGAATTTCCTCTGGTGTGTCAAAAAATTTACTATGATTGGGTGAATTATTGCATCATTCGCTAGTGGATAACAGAAGTTAAAATAATAATAATAACAGTAATAATATATTAAATCATATTATCATCAATAATTATGATAGCGCTAACAGTAATAGTAATAATAATAAAAATAGGAATAGTAATAATAATAATATAAATGGCTGGAGCTTAAACTCACATCTGGCAGAAGAATTTTTCGAGAAGAAGCTCATGCCGCTGACAATTTTCGAGGAGAAGTGTACGGAGTCCCTAGGATACACGAAGTCTATGAAGGAGTGGCCCACGACGCTGTCCTCTGGGAAGCCCAGGATGTCTAGGATGTTAGTGGACACCCGCACGACCGTACCGTCACGGATGCTAAGGACCATCGTGAATCCTCTTTGCTATTTGAAGTAATAAAGCTCATTAAAATTTGCAATAATTGTAAGGAAACCGAAATAAAAATGTAAACAAAAATAGAGGAAAGTGCATAATGAAGATTGTTCGTTAAGTTATTCCCCCTATGTATTCCTCCATGTGTATATAACGCATAATTTTGATGACAATAATTATTTTAATATTAATTTTTTTATATCATTAATAATTTTGAAAACATTAATTATGACTCCAAATGTGCCGTATCAAGGAAATACTGATGCCACCTCTTCCAAAAGTGAAAACTGCATGGATATTGATTAAATCTAGTCTCATTTCTTCATTGATGCTATCTTAAATTCCCTAATCTATTATGGAAGCTCAAAGATCATAAATAATTATGCGAAAATAAGTTAATCGTTTCAACAAAATAATATTCATAAAGCACAAAAGTTGAGGAATCCTACGAGGCGTGATTAAGTTAACGCTGAACAAAATATGATGCTTGTCTCCATACAACATGAAAATTATTTTTATGAGATTTACATAAATGAACGACAATAATGAACGCCATGCTGAAAAATAATTATTTGAATGTTAATTATTAAATAAATCTTCTTCTCTCGTGATAATCATCGATAAGTTAGTTTGCAGCATCCTTCTGCTCCTGGTCTTCCAAAGCATTGCGTTGCGAATAAATATTCTTACCCAAAGTCCATGGCACAGAGTGTATACAGACTGCAACAGACAATATGAATAAGTTATTCCAGACGTTGAGAATCCTAAAACAAGAACGCATTAATGCCAGAAGCATATAATACGTCAAGCTAAATACGACTAGGAGAATTTAATGGCTCATATTCGGTTCGGAGCTTCACCAGTTAATGGACATGTATTGTCACTACCGGGACACGTATTGTCACTATATACTGGGACACATGTGTCACTGCCGGGACACGTATGGCCACTATCGGGACACATGTGTCACTACTGGGACACGTATAGCCACTATCGGGACACATGTGTCACTACCGGGACACCTGTGGCCACTACCGGGACACATGTATCACTACCAGAACACATGTTTCACTATCGGGACGCGTGTGTTACTACCGGGACACATATGTAAGCATATAAATGGCACACGATCGCATGACATGACCGATCAGGTCACGGCGAACCGTCTCTGCAGGCATTGATCTTCTCTAGCTTGCCGTAAACTGGCCGTGGTTCAACTCACCCGTAGTATAAAACCCCGACAACAACTCTACATCGAAGGGAAGCTCTGAAACAAAGGCGTAGAATTTGACTGCAGTTAAAGGTCGCATAATTCCAGCAAGAGGGCTACATGTGTTCTATCAAATTTATGCGCCGAAGATGTTATCAAACTCTCATCAAGATGAGAACAACTGGAAAAACAAACGTGTTATACTTTCCAGGTGGAAAATAAAGCATTATTCTTGCATGCTACACTTTACAAGCAAAATTTGTTTTTCTGCGTGGCAAATATAGAGACTTGTCTCTCCAGGTAAATAACGTTGAGACAACAATGATTACGCGTTGATTTCATTTAAACAGCGTTTAATCAACATTATTTCAACGTCAGATGACTGCTGGTTTGGTATAGGTATACACTATACATTGCTAACAATTACAACCATCGATAGAAGGTTTGAATGACACTTTACGATGAGTGATATATGAACAAGTGGCAGTCTTATTGAAACGAGAGCCATCTAATAAATGGCATTTTGCAGTGCAGGATGTAAATCCAAATCAATATAAAAGGTTTTTGACTGCGATGTCCCTCAATCTTGCCAGCCGTGATGTCAAAAATGCTATAGGTATTATAGACAAAGTTGATAAAATGAGCACTATGGGTAATATGGGTATTATGGGTTAGCGTGTTCGAGCTGGTCCACAGGCCCAATTCGGTCATATATTTGCCACCATAAAAACAATTGCACAAAGATCACATATTGATTTGTCCGGCAACTTGCAATCACACCTCGTAGGCCTCTTACTGTTTTATTTTTCTTAAAATGAAATATTAATAAAGGCACAATGAATAAACTGGATGAAGGAATGTCTTCCCCCCCAAAAAAAAACGAGCAAAGAAACTCACGTTACTACCGAAGTTCTTGATGAAATCGGCGATAGTTTCACTGTGGTTGCTGGAAAGATGATCCCATTCAGGGTTCTGAAACACTGGCCCTAGGAAATGCCATCGTATGAGTTAATTCAGAGTAAAAAGAATCGAAGGTCCATGTCAGATTCGGGAACGCTAACAACCAACGATTGGAGTCCCAATTTTGAATGAATTATTTCAAGTGCAGCCATTTTATATTTTATTCCACCACATTTAGTTAGCAGTATAGAGAAGAACACATATTACATTTCAGACGTTAGGATAAAAAGCCACACAAGACGCGACTCGAAAAGCCTGCTCCTGGACACAAGAACAGCCAAATGCTGGTTGATCTCAATGTTGTTTTAGAGAAGAACACATATTACATTTCAGACGTTAGGATAAAAAGCGACATAAGACGCGACTCGAAAAGCCTGCTTTTGGACACAAGAACAGCCAAATGTTGGTAGTTCTCAATGTTGTTTAGGGGAAATGTGTCTACCTGATTACTTTTAGACAGTTGAAATAACTAATGTTTACTAATTAATTTTTAGCAGTTTTAGATTTAAATGCGTACAAATTTCAGTTTTAATTTTGTTAGTGACATGCAATATTATTAATGCTTATAAAAATGAGACTTACCTTCTGCTACGTATTAAAAAGTAGATAAAGATACTCTATGCCAAATAAATCCGACGGATGAGCAAAAACATTTTCCTTGATGCAAGCGACATCAAATTTGTCATGAATTTATTTATTTAGTGGTAATGTTAGATGGTCGATTGCCATTTCTGAACATGGATAAATTTGTCCTGATCTCACTCAAAATCTTAGCAATAGTTAGCAATATTAACTTACTCCACGGATTGATTAATAATTTATTGAAGTGATTTCATATTCACTGATTAGAAGAATATAATAAATTTCTCCATACTTATCAATTTCTATAAAACATTTTTTTTCTACAGCAATTTTATCTACATATATTCTAACTATATTCCAAATATAACTATAGCTAAATAAAATTTGCTCATAAGCTTACCTGAAGTTGCAAGCAACCAACAACCATTTAAACTTATTTGAACTTTCCATGCATCGCGAGGCTATGAAAATTATAGATTGAAAGCTATCTAAGAGGCTTTTAGTATAAGATTAACTAAAATAACATTTAGGCTAAGAAAACTAATCATAGTTAAGCTGTTTAAAGATGGAGCATGCGAGATAAAAATTGTAAATAGCTACGTAGGCCAGTGAAATCTACCCTTCCACATGCTTCCAATTATAGACACTAGCGTGACTCACTCTGGGATGATTATAAGCAAGATTTTAATGAATATTTCAAGTCTTCATTGATACATTAAAAAAACAGAGAGGTAACGTTCAGACCTTTATTTAAATATGGCTATTATTAAAGAAGTTAATCATTATTGTGATTTGTGTTTTTCGATGTACCATCAAGCACATGACTCATCTCATAAAATGTTAATTAATTTTGATATTGATTAGTTCAATATGTTCTTTCAAATTCTTAGTAATCTTAATTATTTAAATTTATTAACCTGTTATAAACTTTTGCAAATATTTGGTATTTGGGTTTGCCAGAAAAAAAATCAGATAATGTTTTAATAATCGTGATTGATTGGCTTAGAATTTATCAAAAGAGCTAAATTCACCTGTGCTCGAGAATCTCTCCTTGATACGCCTGATGTAGTTGAGTGCGTGAGTGTAGATCGCCGTGGGTTGATCACAGACTTCGTTCTTTACGCGGCAAGATGTGCTAATTGTGTAGGAAGTGCCTACAAAAACGGAAGCAATTATTCAGTGACTAGTTTATTTATCAATTGAAAACAAGTAAATGGATAGAGAAAAAAATTACTTCCGAGTTATTGCGCGTCCCATCATAAGCTTACGATTTGGCCAGAAATATCCTATAACAATTTTGAAAATAAACGTTGATATATTGATTGATTAATATGCTTACACTTACACACAATATAGTCTGTGGGATCGCAATTAATTTTTCGCAAATTCCTTGTTCTGGCAATCATTTTGCGAATTTTCATACATATTGTTTCGTATGGGATGTAGTAAATATCCAGTATGTTCGTCCATTTAAACTCATTTCAGATCTCATTTATTTATGCGTAATAATTTTTAACCAGGTCCTCTAAAAAAACTTCATCTCAAGGAACAAAAACGATAGATAAAACCAATTGAGGAAACATACGAGTAAATTTTACAGAATTACGTCAAAAATTGGACTATTACTCACTGGCAGGGCAATGCGAAAAGAAACTTTGTTGGCCCGCGGTCCCTGCGCTGGACTCCAGCGGCCTTTTTGCGATTCCAGAAGGCGGCAAATTACTCGACTGAAGGCAAAGCATCTTGGAAGTGACGCCATGATCGTTTTTGGGACAGTTTGGTCCTGAACTGCTCCTTGTAGGATCTCTGAATTCGTCCTTCTGCGACTGGATTGAAAGTGGAGGTGAGGCTAAATCGTTAACGTGTTTATCGGGATGTTCGGTAGGTCGGGTGGCGGCCGAGGCAAAGGAGTAGGTTTCCGGTGGCCGAGGATGGCCATCGTAGGGCTGGTAGTGGTTGCTGTCTTCTACCTTCTTCCGTTTAAAGTCCCGTTGCTTCTGCTCCTTTGTTCTTTTCTCTCTAATTAAGTGCGAGGAGATTTGCTAACATTTGTATAAAACTTAGCTTTTAATATTCGTATATAAATGCGCAAAAAGAAAATTGAGTATGTGGACGTTTCAAATGAAACAATCAGATCCATTAATAATTTTAAAATTAATGAAAAAAATTATTTTAAAATTGCTGAAAAAATGTATTTCAAAATTACCGAAAAAATTAATTGTAGAAATAAATGAAATATATCTATTATTGACTGATAAAGCCTACCTTGGAATGCTGGAGCTGTAGTGCTGCCCTTCCTGCAGTTTATCAGCTCCCACGGAGGAAGATCTGCAGGAGATAGCTGCGAGATCAGCATTAAGTTCCTGGGTCTTGCCATCGCTGCTATGCTGAGTCTCGATCTGCAGTGTTCTAGCATTGTTCTCCTGGTCAGAGCTGGTCAGGCTGGTCGTATGCGTGGCTTTCTTGTGCTGGTCTCCGAAGCCGCTGCTCTGACTTGAGCCGCTGTTGCGGCTCTTCGTGAGACTACCGCCGCCGCTGTAGCTGCTACTGTAAATAAATATAAAATACCATCAGGCATCATATAAAAAAATAAAATAACATCAAGCATCAAATAAACAAAATAATATAAAAACATAAAATAAAGTAAAAATCATCAACAAACATCAAACTTTATCCCCACCCTCGGAAAAAAGTATTATCACTTCAAGGTAAGTGCCGCAAAATGAGTACCATTACTACACTAAAAGAAATAAGCTAGACATTGTCCAAATAGCGATGCACTTTTTGTGCTTGTGGATGTTATCCTGACCCAGTTTGACTCGGGAAAAAGGCATATCAGTGCCACGTCTATTATTTTCTTATGCTGTTGGTAAGAAAGTGTTTCATTGTTTAGACAATCTGACTAGATAATTTTTTCTATGGTATGTACGAGTTATTACATGCACATTTTATGGATATACTAGTTATTATATAAGATATACCAGTTATTATATAGGATATATCAGTTATTATATGCACCTTTTATTAATAAACCAGTTATTATATAGGATATACCAGTTATTATATGCACCTTTTATTGATATACCAGTTATTATATAGGATATACCACTTATTATATGCACCTTTTATGGCTTTGGCCATTGAAAGAAGACTCGGTAGACCCATAGCCCTGGTCGGCCCGGCTGTTGGGGTTGGTCGGGTCTAATCCGTTCTCGGGCTTTTGCGGGTCCCGCTTGATGGTCCCGTTGGTGGCCCCATCTTCTTGGGACGTGGGCGGGGACTGTGAACCATCCTGGTTCGTGGGTTCATCGCCGTCGCTCGAACTTTGGTTCGCGGACTTGTCTAATTTGGGCGCCGGCAGCATTTCCATAGCCTCTAAATAAGATGAAATGGAGACATTTTTATTTTGATGAATGAAAAGTTAATGGACTTGTATTTCCTTCTTAATAATTTTCAAAAGGTGTCTTGGATACACGTCATTGAAAGAAAAATCAGAAGTGTTATAAATAACTAAAAAATGCTTCAGTGAATCATGAAAACAGTCAATTAGTTTATTTAGAATAAAAAGATAATGGAATAGCACAGAAGTAATTAACGATTGGATTCCCGCATACGCACTAATTTTGCGAGAAAGCGGAAGATATCGTAAAATAGAATTGAATGAAGCGATGGGGAAAATGACACAGTAGAAAGATTGGTGGTTTATGGCTACAAATACAGATTGGAAAGAATAGTATTTTGTGCATTAAAAAAAATTAGTAGCTAATCGATATAATTCTGATTTGGCGATGTTGCTTACTCATTGAAATTTTTATCGCTGATGATGTAGTTTCTTGCAATTTTAATCCAGTTAAATTTGTTTTTCCAAATTATTGACTATATGGCAGGCGGGAATCAACTTAACCCATCAACATTTCGCCTGTAGTATATAATCCACGGGCAGTCTAATCCGCTCTGACTGGACCAAAATAAATTCCGTCGCTTCTATCTTATTCAAGATAATATTAGGCGCTTCTTTGTCTGAATGTTTAGTCAACGGTAAATGCTCTAAGCCTCGGTGTAAAATCTGCCAGTTTATTCACCTCGCTTACACCGCACACCCACTCCCCGCGAACTCTATTGTTGCACTGAATATGATTCGATTGTGATACCGTTTGTATTTATTCTCTATGTTCATGCAGATTTCGGACGAGTAACGTTCGTTGAGAGCGACGCGTGACGTAAACGACGTGACGTAAGATAGAGTGTATTAATTTTACTCATCATTAGGCCTAATCGAAATTTCTTTCAGTTTTTATTCAGTGACGTGCATATTTCTTGCGTGGTTTCGTATATCTTTTATAATTTTCTGTATGTTTTTCATGCTTCATTGCTGATACTGCCGGTATTAACATAAACCTTATGCATTTATAATGTATTCCAATACCCTATAATTTATCGGGGCTGTTCCTTGCTCAACCAACAACTCTGTTTATCTTTGATCTTCTTCCGTTGTTCCGCCATCCATCATGAATATAAATGATGTGAAAGTTTTCACGTATAATCTGTATTTCTTATCCGTGATATTTATGATCAACTCGGTCGTGATGACTTAAACTGATAAGACTTGGCTGAATGGCTGAGCGCATGTTATTAATATGAGGTAACTTTACTAATAATAATTTGATGATTACCAAATTTGTGTATTGCTTCTGAATTATTCATTAAATTTTTATATTGTTCTACAAATATGAATGTGTGTTCAACATGAATGAAAACAAGGAATTTGAATTGAACTCCACTACACAATCTGAGTTTGGGTTAATTTTGCGGGGGAGTGAGTAGAGGTTTTCCAGATAATCAAGTTGAGTTTGGGTTGAATTTGCCGGAAGTGAGCGGAGGTTCCGGATAATCAACCTGAGTTTGGGTTGACTTTACAGGAAGTGAATGGACATGACGCATGGCTGAGGCCTGAATGAATGACATGAATGTCATGCTCCCTAGGGGCTGAGGAAACATGGTCATCTTTTATGCATTCATGTTCAAGGGGTCAACGGTAAAGTCGTCACTGCATTAGCAATTTATGCATTCTGAATCAATTTAGTTCCAAGGGGAAAGTTGACCTTTTATCTAGTCTCTTGTTTTACATGAAAATACTGAATTTTTAGCTGCAAATTAATCATTTTATTCGGTTTCTGTATTGTCTTTTGATATCTTTTTGAATGTAATTAAAATTTTCTAAATTTGTTTATTGAATCAACTGAAGTAGTCGACACAGAGTAATTTAATATTTATATGAAATTTCGAGATTTAGAAACAAACCTTCCTGCAATAATGTAGGGAATATTAAATTGTCTTATTGATCAGTTTGATTTGCGTTGAGGATGGAAATTCCTGTTCGATGTACCGCATTTTTTATTTTGTGATTACTTTTTTGGTTTGATTCATCAGAATTCCTGGATATGTGACTGCGTAAAGCGGTTTTCGTGACGCATGAATAACGTCTCCGATACGTGACGCATGAATAACGTCTCTGAGACGTGACGCATGAATAACGTCTCTGAGACGTGACGCATGAATAACGTCTCTGAGACGTGACGCATGAATAACGTCTCTGAGACGTGACGCATGAATAAAGTCTCTGAGACGTGACGCATGAATAAAGTCTCTGAGACGTGACGCATGAATAACGTCTCTGAGACGTGACGCATGAATAACGTTTCCGATACGTGACGCATGAATAACGTCTCCGATACGTGACGCATGAATAACGTCTCTGAGACGTGACGCATGAATAACGTCTCCGAGACGTGACGCATGAATAACGTCTCCGTGACGTCACGGGTTATAATGAACATTTATTGTGTGCTGATCTCTGACCGTCGTCCGAGTTCAGAGATTCGCTTTACTTACTGTAGACTTTGAAAGGTTCTCTGGCATAATACTTATCGATGCCATCTATGCTACCTTTATTTATTATTTGTTTATTTGTTATTCACTTATTTATTTTATTTTTTGTATTTTTTTAATTTTATTTAACTCTATTTTTTTATTTGATTTGAAATTATCCAATTATCCAGTAAGATTCCATTCAAAGTCCGGTACGAACATTATTAATACCAATGAATAGAACCCTATAGATTCGCGAAAGTTATCTAAAAAACTCGAAAACTTTAAAATCAAAAATAAATTGAAATGAATACGACATTCTTTTCAATCCTTTACATGAGAGGGAAGGGAGTCTATCTTTCAATAGTCACTTCAACGGAAATGAAATTTTCGAAATAAATAAAGTTGTTAACTAAATTTTTGATATCCTGAATACAATACTTTCCAAAAACTGCAAGCTCTTGTTCTTGCGCGAAAAAGCCTCGATGATTTACATGTAATAAATTATTCATGATATTCGGTGTCGCCATAGAACAGGACGACTAGGTATTTATAAACCGAACTGGGTTGCCCCGAACAAAATTGTTGAATGGTAGGTTCTTTCTACGATGAATATTTATTTGAAGTTGAAAATAATTGTTCAATCGTTTTTATGATGAAAGAAAATTTTGCTTAAACCGCAAATTACTTGAAACATGAACTTGTGCACGTTGAATTAACGGTTGATTAATATTGTGAAAGATACAATAAATGATTAACTTATATTAACAACTTAAAACACGCAAAACATTAACGAATTAACGAGAAAATGACTGGTCTTTAGACATAGAGTCTTTATAGTCTTTAGAACATTCGCTATCTAAGAAGAAAGAAGTCGGAGCTATATTTCAATCTAGAAAAAGTTACCAATCAAATGCCGGAAATAAGAAATAATAAATTAAAATTATAAATTAAAATCAATAGCCTTAATTTCTCACAATATTTAAGTTTCCCCTTTGCTAAAGTTAAGATAGAGTTAACTCAGGGCTGTGGTCTCGCATTGAGCTGAAGTTCTAGTATAGAAGCCCTAGTAGCCATGAAGAATGTGACAAATAATCTTAAGGCTGTTATATAACTTTTGTAACTAGGCTACAATTGCAGGGAAATTATGCAGTGGGACTCTGTAAGGCTTCTAAAGAAGCCCTAAGCAAGTTTTACTCTCAGGGTCACAACTGGCTTAGGCGTAAGCTGGTAGTAAACACTGGAGTATATTGATCGGTTTTTGTCTTCAGCATAGACTTCCGAGTCTGGAATTTTGTTTACAAACAAAGAAACGATATAAATTTGGTCTACATAACTTGAAACGAGCTCTTCATTGAAGATATATGCATGAAAACTGCATAGCTAAGGTCTTAGTTACTGAATCGGTCTTTCGATAATTTTTAAAACCTTTAAGTTTCAAAATATAATATTAACTTTAATCTTAATTCGTGGTAAATTGAAGCACAACGGTAGTCCTGTAGAAGGTTTAAATTTCAATATTCATTAGTCATGACGATAAATATTAGAACGTGAGTGTGAGTGTGTGTGACCCGTAATTGATATTAAGTATTAACAGGTTCAATGACTCGTTGGAGGAATGTAAGCAACTTCTGCGTTAGTTTTTGTTGCTATCAAATGTCTTATCTGTAGTTGCAAACAAATAATTTCAATCGATGTTTTATTTAATCCTCCTTTGACAGCGAAAAGGAGGATTCAAAAAGGAAAGGAGGATTTGCCTTAATTTTATAAAATTCATATTTTTTGGGTGGCAAGCACCAGTAAAAATAAGTGACATCAGTAGTTTGAATATGTTATTAATTATGAATAATATATTTACCATTTTGATTTAAAATTTCGAACCTATTTCCATTTTTACCTACGTATTTTAAATGTTTAAATGTTAAAATCGGTGGTCAATTATAAATTGGAGAGATTTTAAAACAATAATTAGAGTCAAAATCCGATTTCGTGACTTGATCTCCAATTAAAGGTTCGAGACGAGGTGCGTATATATATAATTAGCTCGTTACGCTTCTAAACTTTATTATTGATCTGAATTCTATTATCAATTTCAAAATCATCATTAATCTTATTGTCATCGTACCTATCTAGATCACAAGATCAGTAATCTCAACTTTATCTTATCTTTAATCTTAAATTCCTTAACAATTTCAATTAAACTACATCCTAGTGTAAACATCTAATTTAAAACTAGTTAATTAACTCAACTTTCTCTTTAATCTAAATTTCATCACATTTCTTTTGTTCTGTTATTTTCCCAAAGACTCGTTTCTTAAATAGATGACTCTAGATAATTAGTAATTTAATTAATAGTCGCTTCCAAAGAAGAGACTATTATTATTATTTTGAAGGAGCCATTGTTTTATAGCTTATTCAGGAAAATAATTAAATGCGTGGAAATTCAATTTTATGTTTTAAAAATATTTCTGACATTTTTCTACTTTTTAGTGCTACATTCAA